CTCAGCCCCAGGACTGTGATGGGCGCCTCAAGTGATGGAGCTTCAGTTTCCCAGTCTTTAAAATGGGTGAAGAGTGAGGTTTGGGGAATAAAGCCACCACGGAGGGCTGAGGCAGAGGGAGAGGTGCCCAAGGCTGGGGGTCGGGGGGGTGTGGGGTGGTGTGGCTGGGCTGAGCCTGGGATGGTTTGACACAGGACAGCAGTGCCTACATACAGAACAGCCCAGATGAAGGCTTGGAGGCTGAGAGTATTGGGAGAAAGACCTAGATAGTCACATTTTGCCGGGCCTCAAATGCCAGGCGTGACGTAGAACCAGGTTCCACAGGAGGAAATGGTCATATCTGGCCCAGAATATAGCCGCGTCCCCAGAGCCACAGCCGGTTTCCGCCTCCAGTCAGGAAGCCCCAGCCCGCACATCTACACTCAGAACAGCAGGTTGAGAGCCAGGCTTTCCTTGAAGTCCCCAGGACTGGACAATCTGCCCACATTGTCCCTTTGGACCTTCACAAAACCCAATTCCTTCCTGAAGTCTGCAATATGAAGCAACACAGCTTTGGAAGCTAGTTGGGTGTTCTTTCATCCTGTGCTGGGCAGGATGAAAGAAATAACAATAAACATAATTGCCACAATTCCAGAGGGATTCATACACATAACTCTACCTATTTGATCAGAGACATACCATTGGGGGCCCAGGTAGCAACTATTAACTCCATTTGGTAAGAGGAAACTGAGGATCAGAGAGGGGAGGCAACTTTCCCAAGGAAAGCCAGTTGGTGGTACAGTGCAGACTCCGGCTAGAGGCCTCCTGGGCTCAACCAGCCTGGGGCCAGGGCACTGAGGTGACCTTTATCCTGTGAGTACCCATACAGTGGGTGAGGACCCAGGGGAGACAGCATCTGGGCTGCAGTTATGGGGTACCTCCTGACCGAGCACAGAGCAGGGATAGTGCCTGGGATCTGAGGTCAGGCAGGCAGCTCCTGTCCCTTGGTGAGCCCAGTGAGAGAACCAGGTCAGTACTGTGGCTGCTCTAGGCATGTTGGGCCCTGACAGGTGCTATATGGGGAGGGGAGGCAAGGGCGGAAGGCTCCCAGTCTTGGGGGTGGTGAGGGCCAAGGGACAGAAACCTTAGGGGTAGGAGATGGTGAACAGGAGACTAGGTTAAAGACAGGGGATCCAGATCAATGTCCCCTGCGACCTGGTGGCCTGTTAAGGACAGGTGTTTAAGGGTCAGAGGAGTCAGCAGGGGTGGGGGGACAGCCCCGAGGGCATTAAGAACATGGAAGACTCCTCTGGGTGGCATGGGAGAGACTGTTGACTATTGACCCCACCTGGCAATGAGGAAGGTGCACATCAGAAGGCATACATAGCTGGTGGCTGAGTGCTGGGCCTCAAACCTGGGGAGTCAGCCTCGGAGGCAGTAAGGAGGTGGGCTAGGGTCTGGGGTTCCCTGAGCAGGCCACGGTGTGGGGCAGAACTCAGGGTTTGGTGTGTGTGTGACCTTAGGCAGGTCTCCCAACTTCCTTAGACATGAGCAGCTACACTGGGGGGTGGGAGTTGTCAGCCCTCACTGGCAGCCTGAGTTAAACTCAAGTCCATCTCTTTGTGACCCTGTGAATATCAGGGCTCCCCGCATAGAGTGGCCATGGAGAAGCCTCGCCAAAAACAGAAGCATCTACTGAGTTCAATGTTTTATATCCATATCAGTATCAACGTACCATACAAAACTCAACTGCCAGCCTAGCCGGGCAGGCAGGAGGGGGTCTGCGGCAGCATAGAAAACTGGGGTTCTTGTCCCGAAAGAGGAGAGAAAATGGGTTTTACAGTCAAGGAAACATACAATCAGAAC